AAATCACACAGAGAAGCAGCAGGTGCTTTGGGTCCGACTGTAAATCTGATCTTGCCAGCACAGTGCTGGTGGCCTGTAGGCTCCAGTGCTGCTTTGAAAACACTGCTCCCCAGCTCCTCCCGTGGGGCCCTCTCTGTGGGGCTTGCTCCAGTCACTGTGAGGCTCTTCCCAGATCCTGATGAGTGCCCAGTCTCCCCACTACTCTGGTGCTAGCTGCTGTGGTCCTCGGTGTGCGGTGTTGCCCAGCAAACATGGGAGGCTGCTCACTTGGGTGAAGGGGAAAGGCTGTGTCCCACCCTACCTGGGACGAAGACAAAGGGAGTCTTATTGGCCTTGGTCTCTGTCCCTCTGTGTGCCAGGGGCTTCCATAGTGGGGCAAGAGGGGAGAATCCACGCTCAGCTGGTTCCCTTCCCGTGGAAACAAAGTGGCCTGACCTCCTGGGCAGCATCTACACATCCTGTCCACACCTGGGAGCTACACCCCCAGCCTGGGAAGTTGCCATCAGCCTGGGAAGTTAGCAACTTTTTGGTGGATTTATTTTATTGGTATGTTTTAGATACACACAGTGATCACATTCATCATAGGTAATTTGTACCTGTACATGATATATCTTCCTTCATCTTTTTTCCCATTTCCTCCCTTCATCTCCTCTTTCCTCCTTATTTTCAAAAGCGTTGTTTCCATTTTTCCTTTCATTTTTTCTTGTCCCTTCCTTTCTTTTCCCTCCTCCTTCCTTGTTTCCCTTCCTATTTGGAATTTTTCTTCCCATTTCCCAATATTGATTATAAATTTTGGTCTTTATTTATACTTTTAGTTTCTCACATCAGAAAACCAATTTGGTATATAAACATGTGTGTCTTATTTATTTAACTTAAAAGTATGATCTCAAGGTACACTTATTTAACTAGAAATATCTCAAGCTTATCCTTCTTTATGGCAGAGTAGTACTCCATTGTATAAAAATACACATCTTCTTTATTCATTCATCAGTTGATGGGCATTTGGGATAGTTCCAAGATTCAGCTATTACAAACTGTGCCACTATAAAAATGGATGTGTGTATATCACTGTGCTATGATGCTTTTAATTCTTTCAGGAAGATACTGAGGAGGCTACCTGAGTCAAATGGAACCTCTAGTCCTAGGTTTTTGAGGAATCTCCACAATGCTTTCCACAATGGTTGTGTCAGTCTACATTCCCGCCAATGGTGGAGAAGGGTTCTTTTTTCCCCAAGGCTCCATCAGCATTTGTTATTGGTTGATTTCTTGATAGCAGCCATTCTTTCTGGAGTGAGGTGGAATCGCAGTGTTGTTTTAATTTGTATCTCTCTAATGCCCAGTGATGTTGGACATTTTTCATGTGTTTATTTGCCATTTCTACTTCTTCATCTGAGAAGTATGTATTCATCTCAGATGCTCATTTTTGGATTGGGTCTTTAAATTTGGGGAGTCTATTTTTTTTGAGTTCTTTATATATTCTAGATATTAGTCCTTTGTTTGAGGAACAGCTGGCAAAAATTCTTCCCATATTGTGGGTCATCTCTTCATTCTGTTGGTAGTTTTGGCTCAGCTTTTTGAGATCCACTCTTTGGTTACAGGGCTGATGTGCAAATGTGGGCTGTGCCAAGCCTGAGGAGCTGGAGTTACTCATTGCCAGCCAAGCAGCAGTGGTGCAAGCTGAGCAGAGTCTTCCTAGGAAGGTCTACTGTACACCAGCAAATCCTTGTCTGTGCAAGCATGCCATGTGAGACACACGAGTCTTGTGACTGGACACAGTGCATGCCCTCATAGGTTACTTCACAAATAAGACAAACATAAGTGTAGTAATAAGACACCTGTCAAGCTGAAGTAATCAGCTACCCTCTTGCACACACACACACATCAACACACTCACATGCCCCAAAATGGCACCAAAGCTAGGCTGTTATTTTGAAACACACCTTTTAAAACCAAAATAGGCAACTGATGCCTTTCCACTAAGTACATATTTGTAGAATATTATTTTTTGCCAAGCCACATTCCATTGTGTGCCTGGGGACATTTACTCAACAAATCTCCTGTTTTATGTATTTTGGTTATTTTCTGCGACAACTGTAGGAAATGCAAGCATTTATTCATTTCTGAAGGGGTTAGAATAGAAAGAGCTTTTCAGAGAATTGGTCACCAGGATGACTTGTGTTCCTCTTTGCTAAGGTGATTGACAGTTCAGTGTTTTCCCTTCCCTTCTGGGTGTGGGCTCTTCTCAGAGTGCGGGGAACACACCCTTTATAGCTTCCTTGTCTCAAACTCCTTCCCATTCTTCATTTTCTGTGATCTATTTTTCTACCTCATCCAAGAGTTGTAGCACCTGCATCCTGCTCTCTGTATCCACACTTGGGGAAAATCTTTAGGCCTCCTGATGAAGACAATTGCAAGATGTTGCTGCATAGGGGCAGGGCTGACCATCAGAACTCTGTTGTCTCCATTGTTTCTGAAAATTCTTATTGGAAAGTCCATTTCCCCATGACCAACAAATTCTAGGTGTTCTCCCAAATGCAGGGAAAGGTTTATTGACTGCTTTCTTTTGACAAATATGCTGAAATTAATTCCCGGGAAGGTGACACAAGTTTTTCTCCAAGGACTCTCCTGCAATGAAGTTTTATCACTTCAGAAGTAAATAACTAAATTAGCCCACAAATACAGGTAAAGAGGGTTCAAAAGGAAAACTGGGAAGCTGTGTCTTGGCATCAGATGACATCATCAAACATCCTTAGTGAGATGGGCCATCATATGTATGAGTACTGAGAAGAAAGACAAAGATTGGTTACTTGTTTTTGCTGTTAGGACCTTATAATCACAAGCCAATATAATCCTTTCATCATCTAACAAGGAAATCAGACCCAGGAGCTATGAAAAACCGAGTCAAGGGCACACAAGTTAATAATAGCTAAATTTTACTGAAGATAGAACTGTGGTTCTTATTTTTCTGATCCTAATTCTACCCTCTCCAGTGACACCCAGTTGTAGGCGATGATGGGATTCACACCATAGGAAAGGGCAGTTGGATCTTCCAATTACAAGAAGGCCAGGGGAGCTTCAGGAGCAAGCAAAGAACAATGATCCTCAGAGCCAGGTGTGGATGCCAGAGAGTGTGGACAGCACAGTTTAAACCCAGTTCCACCCCAGGACTCAGTGTGACTGTCACCTAGCAGTCTTTCCATGTCTGTTCCTCTGGTGGTGAGATGGAAAGAAAAGTGTCAGTAATGGAAATGATGCTTTTCTCCAGGACTGTGAGAAGTAAGGGACTTGGAGCATTGAGTGGGGCTGTGCACCCTGCCTGGCACCCGTCAGATGCATTGCTGCTTCTAGTTCTTTGGTGGGAAGGTGCCAAGCTCTTATGGTCATAAGTTAGTCACCCTGCTCCCCTACCTACTAGGCATGTCACCTTAGCTAATTTATAGATGCCTTTAAGTCTCAAGTTTCTTCCTCTACAAAATAAATATCTTTATCCTAGGAGGATTAAATGACACAGTCCCCTAAAGTTTTTACTAAAACATCTGACAAATGGTGTAATTATATTGGTATTGTTATCATTACTAGTTAACGAAACTTTCACCAGCTAGGACTCTGAGCTCCTAGGATTATTTCAGCCTTAAATGATATAATAGAGTTGTTCCCAAATGACTGTTGAAGGCTGTGTGTAGTTAGCATAATAAAATAAGCAGAAACAGACCATATGGTAGGTAGTTAGGTTGGATTTCTCTGCCCATCACCATGCCAGGAACTCTGCAGGCCTTGGGAGTGTCAGCTGCTCCCTCTGAGGATGAGAGCCTGTGCTGCATTGTGTTCATGCCTTGACAAAGGCATTGCCATGTTCAGAGAAAACATTACAATGCATGAGTGGGTACAGGGTTGTTCTAATTTCAATAAATACTAGTATTTTCTCAGGTAAATTCTGTAGCTAGAAAACAGCTGCAAAGTACTTATTGTTCACTAAGTGGGACCATAGCCGTGCATCTCTCTAAACATGGCTAAGTTCCTACGCTCATGGCTTTTGGAGTATAAAGATTGTTTCTCTCAGAATTTGAAGGACAAAAGCTAGAAATTCACACTTTTTCCCTTCTGACTCTTGGGCTGCCACTAGGACCTGCTTTGGGAAGGATAATTTTTTGGACACCCTCCTGACTAATTTGAAACACTCAAACATCAAAGACCAGACACATGCTTTCACCATCTCTGGTCACAAAGAATTTGACTGCTTGCGGCTCACTGTGGAGACAATTTTCACACTGGAACAATCAATGTTTTGCTGGGATACTCATTCCATGTTGCTTCTGGCTGTGAATTTTGATTAGATGTTAAGAGAAGGGGATTTCATTAGCGCTCACCAGAGAGGTTGTTATTATTCAATTGCTACAAGAACAAACAAGGTCCATGTGACTGAATGTGACTGCCCTAGGGTTGTTTCCCCCACCTCTTTGTCCTAGCTGCCTGGCAGCTCATGTAATAAAAATTGTAACCATTGAGGTCCTTTAGTAGCAGACGTGATTAGGCCATGAAGGTTATGAGCTTACGTCATCAGAGCCTATTGCCTCCAACCCTGGACTTAATAATCACATTACTGGAAAGGACTCTTTCCTTGATTTATCATTGCATAATAGCAGCATTACTCAGCTCCAAAAGAAATTACCAGCACAGCTTGTTCCTGTTTGGGTCAAAAGAGGATCCCCACAAAACCTGGACAAGACTGAATTCTTGATCGTTCTCGAGTTTTAGTTTATTTCATTTCTCTTTACTTTTCCCAATTAAAGTTTTGTTCAAGTCATTACCTCAACTGCTCATGTAGAAAATCCTTAATAGGGCCGGGGCTTTAGCTCAGTGGTGCCACTGCCTGCCTCACAAGTGCAAGGTCCTGAGTTTGATCTCCGGTACTGCTGAAAAAAAAAAAATCCTTAATAAGTGAATGTAGGTATTGCAAGGTCACACCGACAAAGGTTCACTTCACAGAGAGGCAGGAAGTATCTTGGCTAACTTGGATTTGTGGGCTGTAGGTTCAAATTCTTGGGCATTTTAATTTACATAATACTTTTTTTTTGCTGTCTAGTTCTATTTACACAGATAACGTTATTTTTAGGTTACACTATAATGATGTAAAGCAGTTTCAAGTATTTCTGTTTCTTCCGCAATATGATGCTTCTGACTACTGACGACCCACACTTTGAGTTTATTTTTCTTTGAAGGAGCTTAGTGCCCAGAAGTGTGATGGGGAGGGCGATGGCTCATATCAGTTCTGACAGCCACCTCCACCTGCAAAGAAAGCCAGTGACTTAGGAGCTCCGGTGCAGTGACTGGCCTGGGGTGTTGTACAGCAGCTTCAATCTGCCGAACTCCACATAGTGCAGAGGAGGTGAGGACACCGGTGTGCTCAAACTTGGGAAGAGCTGCTGCTAGTCCAGCAGAGCAGAGCCTTCTGTCAGTTCTGAGCAGGAAAGTAAACCCTGGAAGAAACAGATGGAATTTGGCAGCAGAGAAAACTGCGGTTAACTGGTAAGAGGTAAGATTTCCTGCTGCCCTGTGTGCCAGATTCAGTTCTGAGCCTTTATCTGCCTTTTATCATCCACCCTATCAGTACCCCCTGGGGAGGTTTAATGTAAGTTTCCTCACTGTCTTAGTCACTTTTATCATCAGTGAGACACAATACCTGACGGCCAGAACTTCAAGGAGCGGAGGCTTATTTTGGCTCACATTTCAATCCAAAGTCAGCTGACTCCCAGGCAGGCTGGCACGGGAGAGGAACATGGTGGAGGAGAGCTGCTCATGGGGTGGTGGACAGGAAGCAGAGACTATGAAGGGAGGATCTGAGGAGGGAGATAAACCCCAGTGACTAGTCTCCTCTGACTAAATCCTACCTCCAAACAGGAAGCTGGCTATAGTACCTCCATAATCCAATCACACTTTAAACACATGAAGCTTTTGGGTCCATTTTAGATCTAAATCACAACACTTCCATAGCATAACAGGCCATCCTGTGAGAATGACTGGCTTGCTCCCTTCCAATAAGTGAACATGGTATAGGTATGTCCCTCCCCTTTAGTCCTTACTACCTGCTGGCTATGTTCTCCACCCAGAACTCAGCAACATTCTGATAGAGAACATCTACCTCTTTTGAGATTTATCTTTTTTTTTTTTCTTTTGGTACCAGGGATCGAACTCAGGCCCTTGCGCTTGCGAGGCAAGCAGCTTAACCACTGAGCTAAATCTCCGGCGTGTGAGATTTATTCTTAATCATTATTTTACATTTTTGTTATACTGCAAAGGAACTGTTATTCTGATTTCAATATCGAATGCTTGCTTCCATTATATAATGGTCACAACTGATTTTTATATATTAATCTTGTATCTAGTAACCTTGATAAATTCACTAGTAATTTTTGTGTAAATTCCTGAGGCTTTTAAAATGTAAACAACTATATTGTCCGATGAGCAAGGATGGTTCTGCTTCTTACTTTCACATGTAATGCATTTTATTTTCTTGTACTATTGCAGTGGTCAACACTGGGGATGCTACTGCTCTCTAGAGCCCTTGGAGCTGTCTCATTTTGGGTTATCACAACTCAGCAGTTGCTATTTATATGTAGTGAGTGGAGACCAGGCATGTTGCTGATCATTATACAGTGTATAGAATACCCTTCCGCAAGATAAAATCATCTAGCCCCAAAATGCAACTGGTGCCACTGTTGGGAATCTCATTATATTGCTGTGGCTTGGGCAGTTATTGCTCTGTTGGATACAGTGTTGAATAGATGCCATGGACCATACCTTCTTACCTTGTTTCCATTCTTATGAGAGAATGTGACCAAATGCTTAGTACAGTGGTACTTTGGTTCACGAACTTAATTCTTTCCACAATTCTGGGTGCATACCAAATTGGAAGAGAACAGAATCAAATTAAGGTCAACATTGAACCTAACCACTGAATTTGAGTCTATTCTCATTCAATTAAGTTTGTGACCAGAATTGCGGAAAGAATTAAATTCATAAACTGAAGTACCAGTGTATTTTACCATTAAGTAGCCCATGCAGCAGAGATTTCATAGATGTCCTTTATTACATTTAGAGAGCTTTTCATGCTAGTTTGAAGAGAATTGTAATCATGAATTTATGTTGATTTTTGTCAAATACTTTTCTGTTTCGATTGAGTTGATACTATAATTTTCTCTTCTATAATCTTATAATCGTGGTTTATACTAATTAATTTCCACATGTTAGACCATCCTCCCATATGTGAGTCTTGGTCATTTTAGAAACACTTCTGGATTTGACTTTCTACTATTTGCTTTAGTTCCATTTTGTTCTTCAGAAAGATAATTTCTGTCTCTTTATTGACATTCTTTATCTGATAAGACAACATTCTCCCACTTTTATTTAATCCTTTCGATATTATTTTCTTTTGGTCTTTGACCATATTTATAATAGTTGATTTAAAATTCTTTCTCCCATGAGTCTACTGTTTGAGATTTCTTGACAGTTTCATTGACTGATTCTCTCCCAACTCCGTATATGGGCAATGTGTCCTATCTCTTTGCAAGTCTCATAATTTTCTGTTGAAAAGTGAGTATTTTGAGTAATATAATGTAGAAGCTCTGAGGGTGATATCTGTGCAAGGGTTTTTATTGTAGCTTTTTGGTGGAGTTTTGTTTGTTGTTTGCTGTTGGTTTAATGACCTTCTTTGGCTAATTTTATATACTCTGTACTGAGTTCTCTGCTCATTTAGCTTCTGTTCCACCTCTGGGGCTCTCATTTGGTGGTTTTGTGTTCTATCAGCAGCCCTATAGGAGGACAGGATTGCTATGTGCTCTCTCTTTCATACACCATGCAGAGCTCTTTGGCTTGATTTTTAATCTCCATTCTCCCAGGATTAAATTTTAAACATGCACAATTTTGCTGCTGTCTCCTTCTCCTTCTGGACCCTCCCCAACAGGGCTGCAAGAGCCTGGGCCTACACTAGGGCTGCTCTGGGAAGTGTGGCACTGGGCTGCCCTGGACCCTGAGTGTGGCTTCTGGGTCTGGATGGGAGGAAAGGCAGGGAATTTCCACCAGTCAGATGCTGCAGGTGAAAGGTGAGCAGGTCTTGTACTTTCAGTATCTACCATTTGTACTTCCATAAGGACAGAATAAAGGTTTAATTAGCTGACATCATCATTTAAATCCTGGTATGTTGTAATGCTGTGTTTAGGAGTATTCTGTATGGAAAGCATAGTGACTGTGGTTACTTATAGTGGGAGAAACACAGTCAGGAGCTGGTAGCTTTGATGTGAACAACCATAGAGCTGTTGACCCCAAGAAAGGAAATTCTCCATTTTAAAGGCTGAGGGAGGCAAGGGTGATGTAAAAAATATTTTGCTTTGCTGGCCTCTCTCCCTTTCTCATTTGGTTTATTGCCAACATGAGAAGACTTGCCCAGTCTAATTATGTAGGCCAGATCAATAATTGAAATGAATGTGCTACCACTAATGTAATAAAGTTAATAACTAACTTAAAGTATGCAGTATTGATTCCCAATTTCCTTATGTTTGACCATTTCTATATAAATGCTTAGTTCGGGGAAGCTGGTATGGGTCACAGCCAAGTCTGAAGTACTGCTTTGTCTACATGTGTGTTTAGGCGTGTGTCACCTATCCATCCATACATATTTCTATACACACATGTACCCACATGTGTAGACACACATATATGCATATACACATAGGCATATATACATATTTGTGTGCATATATTCACACATACATTCACATGTATATTTCACTTTTTAATGATTCCTAAAAGAAGGACCAGACTGTGGGATGGTAATAACTGTACAATGAGGTGGTGCACACACTGGGGTGTCCCTGCATGAGGGAGGGACTGGGGTTGCCACAGGAACTGGGCTGGTGCTGAGTGACTCAGAGGAAGGTGTGAGGATATGAGGTGTGCCTCCAGCCTTCATGCAGCAGGAAGCTGATGCAGGTTGAGGATCAGGATATCTTTTCACCTTCTCAATTTTTTAAAAGTGTCGCTGAGATATAATTCATGCCATTTACCTATTCAAAGTGTCCACACAGTGGCACGGAGGACATTTACAATGAAAGACTAGATGTACACATGGACAATATCCAGGTCACCTATGCCAGCAGATTTCTGACCTACGTTCTACAGCATCAAGGTAGGGAAACAAACCCTTTGTCTAACCGGTCCAGGACACCAGTGTGCTCTGTTAGACTTGAAGAAGCAGAGGTTATGCTTTGGGTCTAAAATGGTTCCCAAAGCCTCATGTGTTTGGAAGGTGATTGGATTACGGAAGCGACATAGCTGGTTTGCTGTTGGGAGGTGGAGTCTAGTCCAGAGAGGCAGTCACTGGGAGGAGGCCTGGGAGGCTTTAGCTCCCTCCCCAGCTCCTCTGTTTTTATTCTGCTTCCTGTCTACTATGAAATAAGCTGCTGTTATCCATCTGGGCCCTCTGCCATGCTACTTCTTCTTTGGAGCTGACTGATCGTAGACTAAACTGTGAGCCAAAATGAATCTCTCCTCCTTGAAGTTGTGGATGTCAGGTATTGTGTCTTAGGGACTGGGAAAAAGGGACTAAGACACCAGGCTATTATCCTAGCAGCCAATCCAGGAAACCAAGTCAAACTCTGTAAAAATCAGCCCCAGTGGTCAGGGCAGGATTAATAGTTGACATCTTCCCTAATTGTGGCCTCTACTTCCAGCAGGACCAACCAGAGTAAGTCACCCGAAACAGTCACATGCCTGAACCCCAGTCACTTGGCGCACTTGGTATGGTGATCCCAGGAGGAAGGACATTCTCAGATGGTTCCAGGAATGGACACTGACACCATGTGCAATGGCACATGTGCCTGGAGTTGGATGAGACCCGGGACTCACTTCTAACCCATGGAATTTGGCCACAGGGCTAGCTCTCTCTCCTAAGTATGCTCCAGAAGGCCTTCCTGGTCGCTTGCTTCAGCGTGAGCGAGGCCCTGCCAGGAGGCAGAGAGGAGCAGAACCCAGCTCAGCAGCTCTGGAAAGTGGAATTCTGTCCTAGTCACATGGGATCCTGAATGGCTCCTTCCTCCTCACACTTCCGGAGGGGAAATGGCCCTAGACTGCGACCTCCAGTGTCTGGGAGGTAAGAGGCAGGCACATCTGACTCCAGACCCCATGGAATTCTTTCTTTTTTCTTTATCACCAGTCCACATCTCCACTGATAGCTTACTCAGGATGTTTCTGAGGACCTCAGACTCTTCCTGGAGCCCCTTCAGCTGTGAGCACATGGTGGCTCCACATGCTGTTGATGGCGTGAGACAGGGAGATAGTGCTGACTTCCACTTCCCCCTCAGTGTGTCAGACTGGAGTTGGGGAGGAGAGGCCAGGTCAGGATTGTCATGCAATTCTTTTCTTTAAAACCATTGTCAGGCTCTCTTCAGTCTCAGGTCACTGGGTCTGTCCCCCTTAGGAAAGGTTTTGACAAACACATTGTCGAAGATGGTTTTTTAAGGCTTCTACTTGGAGATGGCAAAATACATATTTATATGGCTGGGACAGTTGGTTGATGTGGAGCGCAGCCTCTGCCCTCTCTGTTTACTGGTGTTTGCTGCTCTTTTTCCGGGCTCTGCACTTTATTGAGGTAAATCAGAAAACTGTAAGTGGTCTGTTTCAGCCAGAATGGATTTCATCTTCACTACTGTCACAGGTTTCTTTGTGTTCTTTGGCCTGAAGTAGAAGGGAATGTTTGCACTGATCAGGTTGGGATGGGACAAGATTGTGACGATGACTTTGTCAAGGAGAGAGGGCAACTGTCACATCAGGAAATCTGAAAACAGAAGCTTTGAAAATATTTTCCTGGCTTGTGATTTCCTGCTGCTCAAAATAAACACCAACATGGCTGTAGCTCAATTCTAATCAGGTACTGTTATATAGGTGTTGAATTATGATGAATGTAAAATACTTTGAACAGGAAACAACACTAGATTTAAATATCTCCATCTCACAAATGCAGTGGCACCCACTGCAAGCAGGTTGCTTCTCAGGAGTGTAGGATTCTTAGGAAATTATTAGTCTGTCCTGCTTTGAATGCTCTGTGCATTTGTTCTCTCCTAAGAACAATGGAACTGAGGTTGACAGGTCTGGGGCAGATTCACACAGGAGCTCTTTTTTCTGGCCTGGCAGGAACATTGCTGAATTAACTGTTGCCCCATGTTCCACAAAGTCCCCAAGGGTTTGGTACCCCAGGACTGGAGGGTGAAGACAGGTTGGAGCAGCCGAACTTCAAGAGGAGAAAAATGCAGAGAATCCGAGGGTGCCATTTCTTCCAGCTCCAAGACTCATTCTTTCTGTTCTTTAAATTGAAATAGAACAATAAATCCTGAATATTAGTGAACAAAGTGAAGTTTTTCCCTCCAAGCATTAAAGTAAGTGGTAAAGGCAACATTTTTTAGATTCTGATTGATTTTCTTCCCAAAACCTCCATGGCAGCCCCCTCAGGTGTGTGAGTACCGTGTGGCGAGACTGTAATTTAGTCTGCAACGTGAGCACTGCGATGATCACTCACTCTCCTTGACAGCTTCCATCGAAGTCCAATTTCCTTGGATCCATGTAGCCTTGCCATGGGGGAGATTGGAACCAGCAAGGCATCATCAATGCAGACTCAGGAGTCAAGTCTGCCGGCATGGAGGGACAGCCTTTCCTCTAAGGGACCGTCACCTGGCCAGCTGATCCCCACTCCACGTCAGGGGAGATAGAATTTATTTGTTTGGTTAATATTTATAGAGTTAAATGAGTTCGTTTAGTAGAGTTAAATTGGCCTTGGGTATCTGGTTAAACTTCATTTGTCTTCCGTTGTTGGAGGCAGGGCCCTGCCAGCTCCGCTCTGTCCACCTCATCCCATGTTAATGTTGACAAAGAGGCCCCTCGACCTATTGATTCTGTTCTCCTGGCTTCCTCCGCATTGGGCTGCAGCGCAGATGGGGACCTCCACATCATTAGAGGCTGATACTTTGAAGCTGCCTCATCTGTCTCATGTACCTCAGAGACACCACAAGCATTCTCACCCTGGAGAGCTCATCTTTATGGTTTTGCCATTGCGTGCACCCAGGTGAGAATTTCTGAGCTGGAGAGGCAGAACTGGAGACACAGAGGGGCAATGAGGGCAGGATGTGTAGCAAAGCCTGGCACCTCCTAAGGAAGGTGCAGGAGGAGGGGATGGATAACCTGCCTGCAGTTACTTAAGCCCACGAGCAGCCCAGGCAGATCAATATTATTGTAAACAATACCAGGCTGGTAAGAAGGAGGCTGGGTTGATGGAGAGTCCATTACTCCAGATTTAATCACCTCAAGGTAATTAAAGAAATTTCAAGTGTTCTGCTTTAGTGTTCTCCTGAGACCACAGCATCTGCATCGCTGCAGTCACTGGCTCAGCTCAGTGAGATGTGCACAAGTGGTGAGTTTGGGGCTTGTGTGAGTCTTCTCCCTACTGCTTCTCAATCATTGGACCATGGGGTCCTGGTTCATGCTCTGCCAGTGTCAGATGGCATGAGGGCACCCTGGAGGCTCATGCTTCTGGATATGGAATGAGGACCCTGAGGATGGCCCCCATGAGAAGGCCTAGGTGAAGGCTGTTGAGTCTCCAGCTCTGAGAGGCTCAATGCCTAGCACTGGTGACTGAGACCCTATCACTAGGCTGTCCTTTCTGTCCTGGGTTCCCTTGGCCATCCCAAAGTTGTGCATCCACAGCAGCGGTGCCTCCCACACTACACACTGTTCAGGGGTTCACAATCTAACAGGTCCAGAAGGGTTAGCTGGGACAGTCATCTCCCAGCCTTGATGTTCTGACACCCAGCCCTCAGCTCAGCCTGTTGTCCTGGAAGACTCCCTAGAGCCAGCCAGAGAGGACTGAGGGCTGCATGCTTGGTTCACGGGCAGATATTTCCATGTGAGAAAGAAGCAGGTGGCCACCGGAGACACCTGACCAGAATGTGCATGTCAGCTTTCCTTACAACACTATGATACTGGTGGCACTCACTTTATACAGAAAAGAGGCTCAGTTAGCTCACAGTGTTGGAAATTCAGGGCCTGGCCCTGGCATCACTCAGCTCAGGCAAGAACTCCATGATGGACGGCAGGAGCAAGCATGACAGCGGATGTCACATGGTGGACAGGAAGCCTGAGAGCAGTCCAGAGGCCAGGCTTACCCTTATAGAATCTTGATCTGATAAGAGTCACCTTAAGCCACCTCAATGACCAAATGAGAGGTCCCAACTCCTAAAAGTGCCACCCCAGTACCTCCAGATGGGGATTAAACTTCAACACATGAACCTATGGGGACATATTAGGTCTCATCAAACCACAGCAGGTAGAGCTGAGAGTCCTGGGTAGGACATATCTTCCCGATGAGCAGAAGTTGGAGTAGTGAGCTTGACATGGTTAGAAGAAAAGATTTACAAAGCTTCCCAGGAAATGGCGGATGGTGAATTTGTTATTCAACAATACCAGAAGGGGGGAGATGAGGAAAGTGGAGGAAGAGTCAAACCAATAAAGCTTTTGGATTGGTGCAAGGTGTGGAATCATACATGTCTCCTGTCGATCCCTGCCACAGGGCATACAGTAGCCACCCAGGGAAGGTCGGCTGCAGAGGACAGAAGCCAAGTGTTTGTCTAGGCACCCAGTGGGGCACAAGGAGCTGTGCATGCAGCTCTGCAGCTGTGGGACTGTGGGTCCTTCATCTGGGTCTAGCTATTGCCAACACTGAATGATGAACATTATCAGCAGACACAAGACCCTAGGCCTCCATATGACGTGTCTGTCATCTTTTGAGGGATCACCAAGCTACTTGGTGATAAGTTGATCTCTGTTTTGGAAAACATGGTAATTTATCTGTACTGGATTGATTGCTCTGTGTACCAGACCTGGGCCTGTACCCTTGCCCAAAGTGGTCAGGTTCATGACTCAAGGGTTTGTAGAGTCTCTGTCCACCATGCTGTCCTGCAGAGCTGTAAGTGATTGCCCACAGGATCCTTGCTGCATGGGTCTCTTCGTTCCCCAGAAGCTGCTGGCCTGATGGAGCACAGATCTGCCCCTCAGGGTGCAGCAGAGCTGTTGCTTTAGAGGCGGCACTCTGTGAATCTGGATTCAGCTTTTCAGACGTGGTTCTAAACCTGTGACTCTTATACAGGACTGGGTCCCTGACAGCAGAGTGCCTGGGTTCAGTGCGATTGGGTCTCTCACCATCATTTGGACTTGCCTCTGGGGAACTTGTCTTTTGTGCCCCTGAAACTTTAGGCTACATGACATTAGAGACTCTGGTTTCAGGTTTGAGTGGGGAAGCATCTACTGGGAGCTATAACAAGAGGTCCATTGAACCTAAAGCTGTGGACTTTTCACGTACATGGACCAGCAGGCAATGAAGAAAGTTATGCTGTCAGGGGCACTGGCCTTCTGGTAATCTTGTTACCAATCTAATAAGGTTGCTGCTATACCATGTGGGGGCAGAAGTCCAAAGAGCTTCTCACTGGGACCTCTCTATGTCCCATGAATGGGCAACTATGTCAATCATAGCTTGATTGTGGTGAGATAGGTGATAAAAGAGAGAAATGAGTATAAATTATGCTTTGGGTATACACTGTCACAATAGGGACCACACCTCACAGCAATAGAAATCTATTATACGTTGTGCAGAAGTTTTTTGTTCTGGCTGTAATAACCACCATGTTGAGGAATCAGAGGCAGGAGGACATGGCCTTAGGATGCCATCTTAGGGTTTGAGTAGAGGAAGGACTGCACTGTTGTGGGTAGGAGTGGGTAGGAGGGGTGCCCTGAGGTGTTCCTCAGCATAGGCCAATCCCAACAAAGGGGTCATGTTGCAAACTCATGATGGACCTTCCCCAAAGGTGATCTTCAATCAGTCAGTCAATCAATCATCAGTCATCAGTCAATTCATTGAATTCAGATATCCAACCAGTACAAACAGAAGGAAGTGTATAAATGCCCTGTGTTTCTTGCTCTTCATAGCGCTTGCTGGCTCAATGTCATGTCCAGGATTCTCTGCTCCATTTGGTTTCAGTCTGCTTGTTAGTGCATCTTGGGATTCTCTCTCAAATAACTGATTTGCACCCAAGTCCTGTCTCATGGTGTTTTCCCAGGAAACTCCACCCAGGACAGTGATCCTCTGCCTCTGCCCTTATCCATGCCTGCCTATTTGGACAGAGGAATGTCCATATGGGTAGGGACTGGCAGGTCCAGCCTCAGCTCCTGAGAGCTATCTTATTCTCTGGGTTGCTGAGCTCCCTTGTCCTCAGTCAAGTTTTCCACACTCTTCCCTTAGCACTGTGCTTTGTCTCAGGCTGTAGAACTGAGTTCCTAAGTTAGTCCTTTTGCTTCAGTTCTGACAGCTGTTGTGCTGAGCAGCCCCACCTTCTCATGGGCTTGGTCTCTTCTCTGAAGCACTGTCCATTGGAGAGTCCCAGTGTCTTGCCTCCCTTCTGCCAACTTTTTGAGCTGGCTCTGGACCTAGTCCAAGCCCTTGGCGTCTGTGGCTATGTTTTCAGAGATGGTACGTGCAATCTCCTGTCTGCTTTTCTCACCCTGTGGTGCCTGGTGGGACTTCTTGATGCCTTGTCTGTTTCACAAGGATAAGTGACAACTCTCCTACCACTTTAAAGACCAACGTGAGAGAAACCTCAGAGCTTCTTCCCATGGAGCTTTATGCTGTCATTATACCTGTAAGTAATTTCCCTCTTTCTTCAATCACTTACCACTCCTTGTACCGTTTTTGTAAAGTTTTACTTTAGTTTCTAGATATATATTGTTCTTGTATGAATCTTATTTCTTATAAATTTTTTACACTTAGTTCTTTAATTCAGAGTGAGTTAATTTTCATTTTTCTGTGAGTTCAGAGTTAATGTTCTTTCTCCCACCTCTACCAAACATATCCGGGAGTTCAAAATATTTTGCTGAAAAGACTTTCAACATTGAATTTCCTTGGCACCTATGTAAAAAATCAGTTACCTCCAATAAACTGTCAGTCACTTGAAGGCAGCAGCTGTGCAAATGCTCTTTGTGTTCTTTCCAGAACTTCTTCCAGGGTCTTAAATGTAGAGTGGGTGCTGGGGAACTACGTGTAGAACACAGCTGTGGGCACTGTGCTCCCTCGGCCTGGTGAAGAGAGTGCTGCTTGGGGTGGTTCTCCAGTGCTTCTTAGGGCTGCAGCTTCTCACCAGGTCTCTGACCCGCCTTGAACACCCAGGCACTCCCTGCACCAGCACCTCTGCCTGTCATACTCGAGGTCCCCGGCTGCAGAGGGAAGGTTCTCTGCCCTTCAGAGGAACAACCTTGGTTCTGCCCTGGGCCCCACCCTCTTTTAGCTCCCCAGTGAAATCATTTTCACCAAAGTTTCTGCTCATTTGGAAAGTGGCAACA